TATATATATATAATTTTTCCAATATGTTTACGTACGCCATCATGTATAAATGCAGTACAGTCGAGTTCCACCTAAACACGAAAACTGAAGTCACTGGTGCCTTCTAGACTTCTCGTGCAATGCTGGCCCACCAAATATTATCAATAACAAGTATCGAAAATTAAATTAAAATCGAAAATACTCAAATAGCAATAGATTTTGCATAAAAAGTAAAAACACCACCATATATTATTATTATTTATAACAAATATTAGCATCAACTACCAAATGTTCACAGACCTTCACCAATGTTCTGCAAACAATGAGCTGCTTCTTTTTCTACTATATTTACATAACTTAATGCAGAAAATGCTTCAATTTAAAAAAAAAAAGTTTAAATGCAATGAGACACTAACACTAACACTTTTATTAAGACCACAAGATGTTTGGCTACCCTCTCTGGTCCTCCTGCACAGCCATCCGTTCAGACACTTCTGAAAGAGAGTTAAGATTGCAGTTAATCAACGCCTTCACAAAGTAACACGTGTCATCCTTTGTGTTTCCATCAGGAATGTCAACCACAAATGACTCAATCACTAATGTTCCTGATCTTCCTTCTATTATCTCTGGATGAACAGTCAGAATTGAGGAATAATTCTGCAAAAGTTTCAGAAAAAATGAATATTTGGATAACATAAAAAATTGGAGATTCTGAGATTGAGAATTTGATTTTAATGATATACCTTTAGTCTGTGGTCACCACCAACGATTTTGATGCCAAGGATGTGTTCGTTATCATCAAGAAGTTCTAACCTTTCAGTACTGGTGGTGGCAGGAAGCCCTGATTTGACATTCACTTGTCGAACACTGCCTATGTTAAGATCCCCATGCATAGTACACCTGCTCACAAAAGGCTTATACTTTTGAGGTTGATCAAATCTCCTAACTAACGACCAAACCTGAAAAAGAAAATCGAATGAAACTGTTAAAGAACAGAGGTTGATACTTGATTAATTGAAATACTTTGTGAGAGAGAGAGAGAGAGAGAGAGAGAGAGATATTCTAAATTGAAGCAAATGGAATGTTTCAGATCTGTGTGTTAAGTGATATGAAGCTGTGTAAATCATGAAAACAGGTACTAGAAATGTTGATTTCTTTTTTCAACACTGATTTTGAGATCAAAAGTATACATATCAGTATATCGCTGTTGATGCAGTAGCAAACTTGTAGGATTAACCACAGAAGCTTTTAAAATCATATGGTGATTTATTAGTAACAAAATTCATGTCAATTTCTCATTCTTAGGGTACTTAAAAGTAGAAGGTCTAGTATAAGCTCTGATCCACTATGGAACTGATTGAATTCAACTAAAAATAAACACCAAACACAAACATGTCAGATTGAATCGAAACATAAAGTAATAAGAATAGGGAAGAGAAAGGGCGAGAGATTACGATATCAACAGGAGCTCTGATGTGTTTAACGACAACAGAAATGCACTGTTCATCGTTAGGGTTATGCCTGTGGTGTCTTCGTATGTAGTAAGCTGCTTCCATTGTTGATTAATCTATCTTGCTGTTGATTTCAGTTCTTGAATTGAAAGCAGAATTCGAATAATTAGAAAAGACTTTTTTATGATATGATCAAGAATCAGGACAACTGGTAGTGTTTTTTTTCCACTTTGCTTTTAAAGAACAAAGATAGGAAATTTGTGAACGGAGATACGCTATTGCCTATGACCCACACTCGAACAAATAGCCAACAAAGAAACCCGACCCGAACTGCTTCATCAGGTCATCAAATGGATGGTATTAACTTGAGGCAAAAAAAACTTTCGATATTTGTCATGAATGTACGGTTTTACCCCTAAGTCTGTTTTTATAGGGATTATGATACAAATAGACATATTTTGGGATGTTTTCCAAAATATATATATACATGAAAATGCTCTTTCCACGTATAGACATGGATTTCACAGAGCTACCTCCGAAAGCTCTGCAAAATGAACATATGCTCTGAGGAATCGTTATGGCATAAAAAAAAAAGCTGAAGCATAGTTCCGCAGAGCTCCTTCTGAGCAATGAACACTGAAAACCAGTTCTGCTGAGCTCCTTCCGATGATTTGATCCGTCAACTTTACGCATATTTCTCTCCTAAATTAACCATATGACCATTCCGCGGAGGGTACCCTAATTCTACGGAGACCATGGAGGCACCTCCGTGGAATGCATGTCTATTTGTGGAAACACTTTTTATATCTATATTTTGAAAAGTACCCATAAAAAATGTCTAGTTGGGTCATAATCACATTTTTATATCTATTAATATTCTTATAAAAAAGAAAAAACATCATAAATGGTCCCTGTGGTTTCCCAAAATCTGAAGTTTAGTCCCCGTGGTTTAAACATCTTAGATGGTCTCTGTGCTTTCAAAACTTTTGACGATTGGTCCTTATTGCTAACTCCATTAAGTTTTGTCCATTAACTGAAGGGCAATTTCGTCATTTCACTACTACAGGGACCATTTATGATGTTTTCACTTATTGCTCTCTCTCTCTCTCTCCAAACGCAACTTTGACCTACACATAAACACACATGGACGGTTGCAAAACAAATTAGGACTAAATATCGTCATCGATTCACTCGATCACAAACCAAATCTCCAAAATAAAATACAAATTAAACTACTGGTTCATCAACCATGTCATCCTTCTTTGTAATCTTCTCCAACTCCTGTGCATCCAATCGGATCCCAAATTGGTTGTCTCCTAATTTCATCTTGATCAATCAATTGTGTTTAGTCATCATCTCTTTACATCTTCACCAGATAACTCAAAGGCTCAAACTTAGATAACTCAAAGTGTAACGCCCGATTCTCGAATACCAATATATGGTTATGAATTCTCATGAATTCAAGGTCTACTCGACGAGTTGGTTGCC